TCAGTAAACTAATTGTATTGGATGTTGCAGAGTCGAATCTGCAGACATTTCCACCTTTAGGTCCTCAAGGAAAGATCTCTGGTGCGGCCAGACCCCCTCGTGATGCTGATGGTATTTTTTGTTTAATTGAGCATCAATTTGTGTGTTTTTGTGATTATCTTGATGTATAATAAAAGGAGTTTGATTAGTTATATTTTTGAAACTAAAATTGTGAAGGCAATTATGACTTCGTGGCTTCTTCTTTTTGATCTCCGGTAATTAGGCATCCGTATGTTACTGTTATCATTTGAAGGGAAAATGAGTAACGTTGCTAAATGCTAACTAACCAAATGGAGTTGAAGATGCTTGAACATCAATTAACTATGCATATTTGTATCTTCACTTATTTATATACTCACAAGCAAGTTTAGAACATGTTGAATGTTCAGTACGTTGAGAATGAGTTTTCATGAAACATTTAATTCTCTTTTCAGTTTATGTTGCATAAATTATATAGTTGTGCCAAAATTTATTTATGTAGACTTCAAAGCACTGTGCTCAATGAATTCGGGGTTGGTTTAATTTTGGTCAGCCTCTCTTTCTTTGCCATTGCGTTCCTTCCGCTAGCGAGTGCCTTTTACTCTGTCTTCTTTGATCCATTGCTACATCTACTTAAAGATCTTATCTAATCAAATCCTTCTCAATCATGTGTTAATTTTGATATGCCTCTCTTTCTTCTAACCTTTTTCTATCGGGATTACATTTTTCTTGTGATATGTTTCACATACATGAACCACCTACTAAGTTGGCATTCCTTTAATTATCCTTGGTATCTATTTTACTTTTTTGATATATACTCTCTATTTTAAATAGACTATGTGTCCACCTAAACATACTCATATTCAGTACATTTATTGATACACATGTTGCCCTCTGATGGCCTAATAGTTCGTTACCTAATAAAGCATAGCTGGTTTAATAACTAGTATGTAGAAAATAATTTTCAGCATTTTAGATATTTTCCCATTCCATGGAACCATTTTAGTAATTCACTATTTCATCCAATTCTTTTTAATCATATGCATTACATCCTCCATAGGTCTTCATTTCTTATGAACAATAAAACCTGAATACCTAAACCAGTTACTTTTGAACAATGTGATCCTCTATGTCGAATTTACTATCTTATTTGTACTATAACTAAAAGAACTGCGTATATATTTTTCCTTGTTATGCTTAACCTAAAAATTTTAAATTTTAAAGTGCTTCTCCAAAGTTCTAACATACGATTTATTTCCCTCAATCCTTGCAGCCTTTTATGATTTTAGCAAATAAGAGATACCAAGGGGCATCATCTTGAGCATGTCTTGTACCCTCATCCTTGTTTAAAACAAAAAGATAATGATTCGCATTAGAACCTTGATGCAAATCGAAAATTTTGTAAATCTATTGTCACTACATGTCATACTCATGACTGATCCATCAGACCATTTCTCAAAGCTACAATTTGATATGTCTAATGAAAATTGCTTTTTATCTCTATCGTAATAATAGCTTTCTGAGCATTCCATTATAGGCTTTTTCCTAAACAACAAAAAAAATTGCAAGCATTATTTTTGTTTCACGAATCTTGAATTAAGTAAATGACTTCCACAGTGTATCTATCTCATGCAAAATCAAATTAGTTCTCTGTTATGTTTGCGTTAACCTTAATCTACAGTGAATCATGGCCAATATAATTTAATCTATGGTGAATTCAAGGCTTCCATAATTAATTTGTATGACATGGATTACATACTTTTGTAATACCTACTATCTTAAATGTCATATTTATTCTTATGAATAGGTACTATAACCCTCTTCCTTCAGCTTACATCTTTATTCTTTAAGTTCTCATGAATAGCTTTTTCAACCACAAAATATCCACTTCACCTGAACACTTCTCTATATTAATCGGAATTCAACCTGCATCAATTGTTTTTCTCATCTTTATCACTTTCATAGTCTCCACTTCCAATATTTGGATTCTTCTAGTATAATTAATATTTTTATGTAAATGGAGATAAATAAATTCTCTATATTCATCCTATGTATTCCTTGAAATAATTTATCCGTCTTTCTTTAATCTAATTGCTATGGAACTCTTTGATTTGCATCTTCAATACGCTTAATTTGGTTTGGATATGTAGTTTCCTTTTTCCTTCGTTGTGATACCTTCATAAAAGTTTTCTCCTAATCTTTGGATCCAAGATAACAGTTCTAATGTCATATGCTACCGATAAGACAATAAATTCAGTCAACAATTTATTTGAAACAAACTTGGTTACTTGTGCTGTGTTGGCTAAATGAATCTGTCGAAGTAGAATTTCTCTCCCCAGCAACAGGGAAACTCATAATCTTCTCAAGACATATTAATAATTCTTGGGGTCTTAAATATTTTACAGTTTGATTCTATTTTCACGCTTTTTTAATATTAAATAGCTTTCAATGGTTTAATGTTTCTGAGTTTTATATTTCTGGACCAAGTCTCCTTGTATTAAAAACAATAAGAAGAAATAACTTTTCCAGCTTTTAATTTCCAATCTCTGTTTTTCATTTGTAATGGCAGGACTGTTTTTCATTTGCTGCTTTACGAGAATCCTGAATTTCCCTTTTGGTTTTTAACTTACTTACTCGTTTTGAAAATCTTATGCATTGTTAGATTTAGTTTTTGTAGTACGTTTTAGCCTTAAATGTTATCTGAAGCTCATTATTCTACCGTCATATTTATTAGTTTGGGTTTTACTTTTAAAATCTTATATCTCCTCTGCTAGGTTCCGGATTCAAGTAGGCCCCAATTATTTTACTATTCTATCGTCCGTATTTCATTTTTCTTCATTCAAAACTTATCCTTGCTAGTTACTTGTTTTTCACCTTGTACATTCCACCATGGTTTATCAATTTAAACACGTTTTGAACTTCTTTTCTATTTATTAATAACTATCTCAAGTACTACCTAATCTCTGTTGTATACTTAGGCTCTCTTTAAAAGTTACATATACAATCTGTACGCAGAAGCACTATCCACCTTCTTAGTAAGAAAGAATCTAGTTAACAATTTAATTTTTTATTTTCATTTCTAAATGTTACTAGGTGAGAATCTCCTGTTGAATCATCTATTTTCGAAAGCCAAATCAGAAGTCATCCCACAGTCCAAAATAGTATTTTGTTTTTTGATTCCTGTTCCCCTATTTCTACAATTTTGTTGCTTGCATGCTGAAGTTCATAGCTCTTATTCCCTAATTCTTTCACGTCTCATCTAGGTACTTTTACACTCATGCTCAAGTTTTGTGTATTGAGTACCATGTCATAAAAAGAACAAAAATCATGTGCGTTTTGCCATTTTCTGACTTTTGGCTGCTTCTGAATGGTTGTGTTTTTTGGCCTGAATCTGGAATTTTGTTTGTGTCCATATCCATATCTTTTAGTAGAAGCAGTATGGTGATGGTCTTGCTTTACTGAATGGTGTCTGCAGTTGATTGTGAACATGGTGTTTGTATGACCAGAGATCACTTTCATTAAGAAAACCACAAGTGCAAATGACGATTTAATTGGACTAGAAGTGCCTATACTATAAATAATGGACAATGGGTCAATGCTGAGAATTAGGGAGCCCTATACTTCTAGTTATCTAAAGATATGGATCTATTCTACATCTAAAGCTGCTACAGTAGCAAACTGGAGTGAGGTAATTCTGTTATTAGGGAGATTGGGATTTTCTCTTGATAAATTTGTACGTGGTAAGATAGTCATTAGTAGCACCATTCGATACAAAATTCAAAAGCTGTGAAGTTTAGTTCTAGGGATACTGATGAGGACATCGGACGTGACATTGGACGTTTACTTATTTTATTTAAGCTTTATTTATCTTTTGGACTATTATTTAAAATTTGGACTTGTATGAGCTCGGCTCAATCTCGTTAGGGTTGCTTTACTATTTAGACCTATTTTGCATTGTAATTTTCAGTTGATGATGAATGAATAATATTTTGATGACTTATGGCGTTTTTATCTCTTCCTGTTTCTCTCTTCCCTTCTGTTGAATCCCCATCCCTTTCTTCTCTCTAATTCCCCCTTCCCATAGATCTATTCTAATTTTGCAATTAACTGTCCCGTTGGTGCTGTATCAAATTTGTTATCAGAGCCTAAACTTGAGTAATTTCTTATCTCCAATCCAAAGAAAATCTCTTTCTACTTCCTTCCCAAAAATTTGTTGGAACAACACGAATAAAAAAATATAGCGTACGAGCAGCAGATCTCAAGTTTTTTGTATCAGTTTTCTTCATAGTCGAAAAAAAAACTACGAGTTACTGTTTCACGGTTACTGTTCAAAAAAAAAAAAAATTTCTGCTGCCGGGTCAATTTTATCTGCTGCACCCCTTTTGAATTAAGTTGCTGCTTCAACCCTAGCCCATGTGTTTTCAATATATAGCCAACCTATCTAACCCAATTACAACAAATCTCCAAGCCCAATAACTACCAATTCGGCCCTACTCTTTATCACTTTACTCCAGCCCAGTGGAATCCCAGACCATCCAGCCCAATCCCAGTCCAACTCCTTAATCCTCTCCAATTGAACCCTATCCGACCCACATTAGTCCAGCCATCAGCCATTTAAGCTCTCACGACCTGACCCAATCCTTCAACCATCACCTACGACTTTTTGCTGAGGAAACAGAAGCTATATCCACAGCAATCGCCTCTGCCTTCCCGACATCTCAGCGCCGGCTTCACCTCCCTCCTTCAACACCGCCGACATCACCAGCGCAGCCCCACATCATCACTCACACAATCCACAACAATCGCCGGCTCCGTTGCTTCGTCCTCTCCCCAGCGTCGCAGCGGCCTTCAATCGGTCGAACAATCCCCGGCATCTATTATCGACGACTAATAACCCAGCTAATCACTTCGCTTCTGCAACAACACCCGCGCCGGCTTCATCTTCTTTCTTTCGTGACCCTGCTGCCCCGACTACCCCACTCTTTAGTTGCCGCCACCCTCTTCGCCATACACTGCCACACTTGTCGCCACCACCACAACTATAATTCACTTCACACACCACTAATCTATCATTCACATATCACCGTCACAGCAGCCGCCAACACATCACACAATCAATTTGAAGCAACTGTTTGGGGAATTCAACGGAGTCAGAGACAAGTTATCGTGAACTTGGTTACTATTTGTAACCCCTACCACATCAGAATCAGAGTCCAGCCATTATGGATCACAATTCAGCAGGAGGGTGTTCTAAAGTTTGAAGGAAACTGCAGCGAGGGGTAAGACAGAAACATACTTGGAGCCTCACATGAGTCGGCAAATTCTGATCAATCGGAGTACAAAGAGGCACAACC